CTACAGAGCTCTGGTTAGCACGCTGCCATCTTGAGAAGTCCCGGCAACCCACGCAGCCAGCGCCAGACCTAAGGTAATGCGCGCCTCTGATTGGTTGCCGCGCGCATGTTTAATGCATGATTAAGACGCGCCTGAATTATTAATGAGCCAGACTAAACACAAGTCTGCACAGCTACCCTGTTTTGCCACAGTATCAATGACCTGATAATGGGAGTTTAATGTGTAGGAATGTTAAGGGTTTACAAAGACCACTGCTTGTGATAAGGACTTTCTTGCATCCCCCATACATGTCCTTTTATTACAAATCATGGTTCAATGCAGATCCCAGTGCAGCCTGTCTAAAAATAGGGTGTAGAGATGATTTACATTTGATGAAAATTTCCTTGCATGTAACTCAAAATACCAATCATACAAATAACTACATACCTGTAAATATACATTACAAAATGCTGTTCACATGTACATACGTGTGTTTCAAGAAAAATCCCTTCAGGTTAAAGAGAATCCTTCCTCACTTACTATGAATTGAAATAATATGACATACACAGTGTTGAAAACTGATAATTCCTGACTCCATGTACATGTATAACATGTACAGCACAGTAGTTATGTTAAGTACAGTTAAGTACAAATGCAGCTCAGGGAAGAACAACATGTTGGTAGGCCTGCTAACTGTTCTGTGCTATCTTTATTTTGTGGGAATTTAGTGTAGTCCCAGCAAAGCTGATTTTCCTTAAAACAAAATCTGTCAGTTCTGTGCAGAGTATGTTGCACACACAGTACAATGTAAGTAAAGACTGTGCTCAACATATCAGCATCGTTAACTGACATCAAATAAACACAAAATCACCTGATCTGGAAACACTCCTATTTCTTAATTTGGAAACGCTGGATAATATGACGGTTTTCTAGATCAGACAACAGTATTTGGAAATTCTGGACCATGTGACTTTGTCTCCAGATCAAGCAACCCTTGGAAGGTTTCCTAATTTGGAAACGCTGGGTCATGTGACATATTCTTTCCAGATAAGGCAACCCTCGGTGAGTTTCCTAATTTGGAGACGACTCTGCTCAGCTAGCAATATTTCCTGATTAGGAAATGTGTCACCAGAATGGGGATTTGGATTACTGTTTGGAATTGTACCGGACTGATGTATAGTTTGGCCCGTTTAACCTACATATAGATTGCTAAAGTCGGGCAGGCCAAACTACAACACAGAGGTCTAGAGAGCATGTATGTGTTACGCCCCAACTATAGCATCAGTCCCAACTATTGTTGGGCCCTGTCACAAGTCAGTGATATTTTATGCCAACTGTTTGATTAATTTAAAGACACAAACTGTATGCTGCCAAGTTGGCAAAATTTCCTTATATGCCCTGTTATGCAAAGTCAGGTGCGGTCCTGTATGGTTCACTCCCGCATGGGTACATACTGGGTGTGGTCCTGTGTGACACACACTGACAGGCCTGTGGTGTGATAGCAAAAGTTTGAGCGATGGCTCTGAAACTAGAATTTTATTAAGCCTTCAACCATTTCAACCTTGTTGATGTGGATTGGAAATCCTGTGTTGGCGGTAGCCATAAGTTGGAAGAGCGATTTGCTGCCCCAAATTTTCAGGAGAAAAGTTGAAAGAGAAAAGTCAGGCTGTGACAATTTTCAGTGTGCTGTAAGACCTCAGGAGCCAATATATACTGTAAGTGTTCTTTTTAATTATTTTCTAATATTTAGTCATTATTTTTTGGTCTAGTATATGTAAGTGTTATTACTGTATATAGCTGCGACAATGGGGAGTTCAAAAGCCAATTTTGGTGACTGTTTTGATAATGAAGTTTCTCCTTTTGGGTATGGAAAATTAGTAATTTGGTTAAATGGTGCACAAATGTTTGCCGTAAGATGTACATGTGTATTAGCGAACATGGGTATGATTATTCAATATTTCAGGGCTCCTTATTACAGAGTCGGAGCTCCCGTAATTGGACCTCGTTGAATACCGTGACGCGATCAAGCCAGGTCCTACATTGGCCGGATAGGGACAGCAAGTCTGCCGGAGGGGGACGCGGCTACCTACCTGCCTTTTGGTCTACTTAGTCAAGCCCCGACTCACCTGCATCATCCTCAATGGATCGGCTGAGAGTCATGTAAGTAACATCGGCACATCTGACAAGTGACTAACTTTCCCTTTGAACAGTCCGAATTTGGGCTAGTGGTAATTATTAACCAGCCCACCAGCCTTCTAGTTTCTATAAAATCCATTTTTTTTAAACTGTTAATCTTCTATATTTTGCTCCCCTTTCATCAAATTGTTTTTGTGGCTTGTATATTTGTAAATAAATTAGTTTCCATTGAATTTTGAAGTTAAATTATCTGTTTGAGTGTACTGTGTAATTTACCGTGCACGCATTGCATGTCAGAGGGTAGGGGGGACCCAGGCTTGTAACAGGCCCGTCCCAAATAAAGTGCTACAGTTGGGCCGGCCAGACTGCAGCAGAGAGGTCCTGTGTGCATGATGTGCCCAGCATGTGCCAAAGTCATATTGTTTACAAATGTCATGTCATCGGTCATAGGACTAGATGAACAGATAAAGTGCCACATTTTAGATGAATTGTGTCAAGTGTTAGACACATTGACTTGCGAAATGTTGCAACATTTTCCATAGACATTGTTCAACAATAGTTGGCCCAGCCCAACTGTAGTGCTGCAGTTGGGACTGTCCCGACTATAGTTGGGACTTATGCTGTAGTTGTGGCGTAACATATGTATGTGCCCAGCATGTGCCAAAGTCACATTGCTTACAGTGTTATCGCACAGATTGACCCTCCTTCTATAACAGTCAAAAATTTCTTCCACTTCATTTGCCCCAGTACACAAACCCATATGGGAAATTTGACTGGTTTTGACTGATGTGACAACTTTATACTATATTCTCTGCTCTGGCAAGTACTCAGGTAGGTACATGTAACTCATACGTGTCAAGTTCACAACATTTGGTCTTGTTTCAGATGCCCTTCTCTGAACAGGGGGCAGAGCTATTGGACAACTAATTTGAAACGTTTCGTTCATTTCGTTTTGCATCGCGTCGTATACGTGTAATAATTTCTATACTTGTAGAGGTCATGGAAATTGCCCCCCCTTTTTTTTAATTGTTGGTTAACTTTTTCCCCCTTCCTATAATGCATCGACCCAGAATTGTTCTACCCTGTAACATAATGGACTTGACCAAAAGTGCCACATCAGCAGGGACAGGAAGTTGCCTTCATTGTTTCTCATGCAATGTTCAAGGCAACATCATCTTCATTAAAGTCACAAGCTTTCCTGTATTCCTGACTGGTGTATTTCCATTATTTTTACAGGTATGTTGATTTATCC